CCTCCCCCCTGCATCAAGGCATTACACTATAGGGAATGGGCTCTAAAAAGTCAGTTCGTGTACCCAGAATAAGTCCTGGTCCCATTGCAAGGGGACCCACAAACACATCAAGCCAGAGAACTTTCACCCACATTCAGAGGGCCTAGTGTGTTCCTATGCAGGCTCCCCAGCTGTCAGTCCAGAGTCCATGAGCTCCCACTAGCTTGGGTCAGCTATTTCTGTGGTTTTTCCCATCATGATTCTGACCCCCCTTGCTCTTACAATCTTTCCTCTTTTTCTTCAGCTGAACTCCAGTATTTTGGCTAAGTGCTTGGCTGTGGGTCTTTGCATCTGCTTCCATCAGTCACTGGATATAGGTTCTATGATGACAATTAGGGTGGACACCAGTCTGAGTGCAGGGGAAGGCTAGTTCAAGCACCCTGTCCACCATTGCTATAAGTCTTAGCTGAGGACAATCTTGTGAGTTCCTGGGGTTTTCCCTAGCTGCAGATTTTTCCTCATCCCCTTAATGGTACACTCTGTCAAGATATCTCTTTTATTGTTCTTACTCCCCATCTCTCCCCCATGTTCCCACCTCCCATCCCCTCCCCTCTATTCCCTCCTCCCAGTTTACCCAGGATCTTAACCCTTTCCTCTTCCTGGGGCGATCCATGTGTGTCCCTCTTAGTGTCCTCCTCTTTACCTAGCTTCTCTGGGGTTGTGGATTGTAGCCTGGTTATCCTTTGCTTTGTGTCTAATATTCACTTATGAGTGAGTACATACCATGCCAAACTGGTACATTCTTAAATGAATCTAAATATTAGTGAGAGTCTTAAAATTGTTTCTGTAACTCAAAGCTAGATAACTGTAAGTTATTGATAAGATGATGATGTGGGTTTTGAACACAAATGACCTGTATATAGTACTATAGCTTGTGAGTCATTTCATAGATTATTTCTACTTTATAATTATTTAACATTTTATTTATGAAGTATTTAAGGCTGTAGTTTTTTCCTGAGGATACAATCTAGTTATAGATGGTCATAAAATCCCAACCTAATGCTCTTCCTTCAACTCTGTATTCTTGATGTGCAAAGTGGTTGTTTTAATAGAATATTTACTACATTTCCATTCTCTTTGAATATATATATATATGTGATATTAATCACAATTTATATTTTGTTAACTGGACTTTTTGTTTGTTTTACAGGGAATCTTTCCTGCGAATTATATTCATTTGAAAAAGGCAATTGTCAGTAATAGAGGGTAAGTAATTAGCCTAAGTTAATTTATAATTATTAGGGGTTGCAGAGGAAGTCTGACTTGGTTCATAGTTTATATAAAATATTGACAGGATTTTTAAAAATATGCATTTATTGTTATATAGAATCCCAAGCTCTAATTTTTTAAATCGTATTTTGGATAAATACCCTTAGCTGTAAATTTTGTCAAAGCAGTAACATATATAGTGTCTTTTATAAGTATATTAGGTACGACTTTGGGAATTATTATTTATAGACTAGGTATTAGAGATAAATTTGTCATTTCACTCTTACATGTCAAAGTGAAGGAAACTTTTAAAATCTTTATAAGTAGAGATTCAAAAAATTTAAAGGTATACCTTATGGATAGAAAATTTATTATGCAAAATGAATATATTATGCACACATTTGAAAAACAAAAATTAGTTTTTTTGTTTTGTTTGTTTTTGAGACAGGGTTTCACTATTAACCTTCACTGGCCTGGCACTTGTTATGTAAACCAGGGTGGTCTCAATTTACAGAGACCTGCCTGTTTCTGCCTCCAGAGTGCTGGAATTAAAGGCATGTGCCACCACAGTTTAGTGTTTTTATGGAATTCCTAAATGTATGAATGAGTGAGTCTCTGATTCTTGTACCGTTTCTTGGACTCTTTTTCTTCTGTTTGTTTTGTCCAGTTCCAATGTGTTTTGTTTTATCTTACTATATTTTATTTCATTATTATCCATTAAAAGCCTGTTTATTTTTTTTTAATTTTATAATTTGATTTAATTTTACATATCAGCCATGGAATCCCCTGTCCTCCCTCCTCTCATCCCCCCACCTTCCTCCCATCCCACTCCCCATTCCCATCTCCTCCAGGGCAAGGACTCCCCTGGGGATTCATCTCAACCTGGTAGATTCAGTCCAGGCAGGTTCAGTCCTCTCCTCCCAGGCTGAGCAAAATGTCCCTGCATAGGACCCAGGTTCCAAACAGCCAGCTCATGCACTAAGGACAGGTCCAGGTCCCACTGCCTGGGGGCCTCCCAAACAGATCAAGCTAATCAACTGTCTCACTTATCCAGAGGGCCTGATCCAGTTGGGGGCTCCTCAGCTATTGGTTCATAGTTCATGTGTTTCCACTAGTTTGGCTGTTTGTCCCTGTGCTTTTTCCAATCTTGGTCTCAACAATTCTCGCTCATACAATCCCTCCCTCCTCTTTCTTGCTGATTGGATTCCTGGAGCTCCACCTGGGGCCTAGCCGTGGATCTCTGCATCTGCTTCCATCAGTCATTGGATGAGATTTTTAGCATGACAGGGTATTTGGCCATCCTATCACCAGAGTAGGTCAGTTCGGGCTTTCTCTCAATCATTGCCAGTAGTCTATTGTGGAGGTATCTTTGTGGATTTCTGGGGACCTCTCTAGCATTTTGCTTCTTCCTATTCCCATGGGGTCTTCATTTATCATGGTCTCTTTTTCCTTGTTCTCCCTCTCTGTTCTTGATCCAGCTGGG